GAGAAGTTTGTAACTAATTTATTTACGGCAGCATAATGCAAAAAAGAAAAAAAATTCCTTAGCTATGTTCATCATTGGTGCGCTTACCCTAAAAAAATATTGTTGCAAACATTAATATACAGATGCGTATGTAATGTTAATATTTTACAGCTGATCTACAAAAAATAAAACAATTGGTATTTTTTTTACTTTCCTACCTATACTAGGTAAGTAAAGTATTGCAATCGGGTCAAATTTCCGACATTCGGTTTTCGACGGATCTATACGTTTCATAGCCCCCTAAATCCGAAAAACACCATTTTTAGCCATTAGTCTGTCTGTCTGTGCCAAGATTTTCTCGGGAACTACTGAACCGATTTTGTTTCTTCTTTTTTTATTTTGTAGGGTTTTGACTACTCATGCCTGTGACAGAAATTCGTTGCTTCATGCGCAACAGCTTGCGGGCAAAAAATGAAAAACATGTTTTTCTACAGACTGTAGCGCGAAAACGCCTCTAACGATTCTGATGAAACCTTTCTATGATGTTCTAATCATTGTCCTTTCAATTTTCGTATATAGACTAAATTCCCGAAAAAATTCAGGAAAAAAAGTTATAAACAAAAGAAAAGTGTTATGGGACCTAACTTCTTAAGTATATATTAAACGGTAAAATTTATAATAAAACTTTTGAAAGGTAATTAAATTACCAACAAAAAAAAAAGAACATCGGAATCGAACTAGTATTAGCGATGATACAGCTTATTCTATTCAGAGTCCGAAAAACACATTTTTAGCCATTGGTCTGTCTGTCTGTCTGCGCCAAGATTTTTTTGGGAACTACTGAACCGATTGAGTATTGAAATTTTTACAATGATCTACTTTAAGCAGGTTTCATTGCTTTAGTTTATGAAATAAATCGTACTCAAATCGTTTGTTTAATCAATTTTCAGGAAAATAAATTTATTTCAATTCTTTTTTGTTTCTTCATGAGCATATGTAAAGATATAAAAACTTTTCTGAAATAGATAGGAAAGTTGTGTGAGTGGACACACCAGATATTTTTTAATTGTTTAGTCGAATCTAATACTTAATGAGGTATGGCAAGTTTAATAGTTTTATTAGAAATGTAGTGGTGTTTACAAGGCATGTTAGGCAGGATAATCAATAGTAACGGTTACGTCTTCACTTCGGCAGCTGCTGGTCCTGTATGGCTGATTGCTTTTTGAGGAACCGGTGACAAGAGGTCCTTAGGACGAGGAAGTAACTCCTGTGGATGTAACAGATCTTTATAAATTGGCTGGTGACAGAGGATAAGGAGGGTGAGATATGGCCATGTGCTGTTCATTAGCCGGCCGTATTACTCAGTTGCGGTCGCACGACCCTCTCCTTCTCCTAAATCCGACAAAAAGCTCAGCCTTCATTAACATGTTAGCTCCAATCCTATTAATATACCTTTCACCTTCCTACCTATATTCATATGAGTTATTTTTATATGACATCTCACTGAGGGAGGATCCCGTGTTTTTATTTGGTATTTTTTTGTATCCTTTGCGAGCTAGCGGTGGTTCCTTTTCATCCTCCCCGCCGGGAGGGTGAAGAAATATCCTCCCTCCCTCTCCCCATCCCCTCCTCTTCCTCCCTGTTATGCCTTAATTAGCGCCATCCTTTTCCCCGACTCCTCCACCCCCAAATAAATGGTTCCTGTCTGTTATACTTGTAACTTAACATCTGTTTGTCTATCTGCGTTAATATCTTTCCGCTCAATTGTGTTATGGAACTTGTTTGACTCTGATTGCTGAGATATATTTCCTTCGTCTGAACTTTTCGTGTAATGTGAGATTGATAATTTCGTACCTTCTTACATCACTTTCTATTAACCTTACCTCTGGCATAGGCAGGGAATTATCATTAGAGGCCTCATTGAGGTTGGGTTAGTGATTATTTTCATTAATAACTATTATTATTCAATAATGAACCATTGCCCCCACCCGCTCAGAATTTGATGTTTTATGTTTCGGAATACGTTGAACTCAAAAATCAAATTAAAAAAATCTGGTGTGTCCACTCACACGACTTTCCTACCTATTTCAGAAAAGTTTTTATATCTTTACATATGTTCATGAAGAAACAAAAAAGAATTGAACTACATTTATTTTCCTGAAAATTGATCAAACAAAAGATTTAAGTACAAATTGTTAGATAAACTAAAGCAATGAAACCGGCTTAAGGTTGATCAATATAAAAATTTCAATACTCACTAATATTGCTGATCAAAAACTTTTTGCTATAGCTTAGTATTGTTAAACAATAATTTCTAGGAAATAGAGAAGATTGTGTGATGTGGGCAACAGTAAACTCGTAATCTTTCATTGGAAATTGAATAGCTGTAACTTCATTAATAGTTGTCCAAAATGAACGATTTTTATATGGCTTTGTAGGGAATTTCATTAACCTATTAACATTTTTCTTTTCTTTATAACTTTTTTTCCGGATTTTTTTGCGGAAATTTAGTCTATATACGAAAATTGAAGGAACAATGATTAGAACATCATAGAAAAGTTTCTTCAAAATCGTTAGAGCAGTTTTCGCGCTACAGTCTATAGAAAAACATGTTTTTCATTTTTTGCGCGCAAGCTATTGCGCATGGAGCAACGAATTTCTTTCACAGGTATCAGTAGTCAAAACCCTACAAAATAAAAAAAAAAAAAAAAAAATAGGTTCAGTAGTTCCCGAGAAAATCTTGGCACAGAGAGACAGACCAATGGCTAAAAATGTGTTTTTCGGACTCTGAAGGGGGCTGTGAAACCTATAGATCCGTCGAAAACCGCATGTCGGAAATTTGACCCGATTGCAATATTTTCCTTACCTAGTATAGGTGAGAAAATAAAAACTAAGGTGTGTGCTCTAGACCACACGATAAAAGAAGAATTTTAATTTCACAATGTGTGCTTTGTAAATAATCCCATATTTATGGAAAATAACCATTTAAAATTATAAAACGGTCTAAAACCGATCTAAAATGTACTAAAATAAATACATATTTTTTTGGGGGGAATGACTCAAAACGTATGCAATTTATATTGGATTGCACCCATGATTAGAAGGTAACTAAACTACCAAAAAAAAAAAACTAAAACAAAATCATCTAAATCAGACCATTATTAGAAAAGATGTACACATGTTTTGGTTTATGAATGAACTATTATGATAAGACTGAAAAAAAAATCCTTTATCTCGAAATACATTGCACTAACTTATTTCTATGTGAATTCGTACTCCGAAGTGTCTCACCACTACACTGAGTTAAAGTGGCTCTTCCCCTCCATTCGAAGACAATATTTCCTAGGTACGTTCCTCTATCAAATCATCAACAATCATCATCCTTCTTAGGCCTACAACCTCCTCCAATTCAAGTCCTCAGTCCACTCCCTTTTCACAAGATCCCGACCTTTACATTCCTTCTCACAGATCTGCCTCGTTCCAAAACTCGTTTATTGCTCGCTCTGTTAATTTCTGGAATTTCCTCTATTCTCCCTCCCTACCTACATTTAAAATCCTCCTATTCCAATTTATATCCCAAAAACAGTCAGACACCCTTGCTAACCTTCTATGTAAATTTACATATTATTCAAAATGATTCCCATAATTATATAGTTACATATAATTCATCATTTAAATACTTATTATCAGATTCGTCTTTTTTTTTTTCAAGAAACAGAGTTTATTGCTAAGAATAATGCAATGTATTTTTTATTTTTATTTTTTTTAAAGTATATACTTATATTCACAATATTACTCAATTCTTCTTCGGTGCATACTATTTATTTTCAAGTTAATTTATTATTAGCCATATTTACACCAATTTAAAAAAAATTGTGTCACTTAATGACTACTCATCACAATGACGACGTTTCGGCTTGTCGAGCCATTTTCAAGTCTAAAAAAATTTTTTCATTTACAATCATATATTAAATTTAACATATTTCAAATTATAAAGATTCTTATTATGTACCTAAAATACCTAAAATTCGACGAGCCGAAACGTCGTCATTGTGATGAGTAGTCATTAAGTGACACAATTTTTTTAAATTGGTGTAAATATGGCTAATAATAAATTAACTTGAAAATATATACTTATATTTTACCACTGTACATAGTTTTAAGTGTCATGGCGTGGTTTCAAGTGTTTTGTATATAGATTTTTTTTATTTTGTACATAGTTTGTTTAACTAATATTTTCTTTACTTTTGTTCTAATATGTTTGTTTTTACTTAGACCAGATATAATACTTTAATTTTATCTTCTTATTTTTCTTTTTTTATTAGGAAGCTCACGTTTACAATTTTTTCATATTCTAGGCAATAAAACTTCCAATTTTCTTCATATTTTTTTATTTATACTTGTTGTCTCTTACGTTTCGGGACAATTTTCCCATCATCAGAGCAATATTTTTATTTTTACTGAAATTATGCATATTTTTTATATTAATTTTAATTTAACAATATCATTCCAATTTATCTATTTTACAATTATTTACCATTCATTTTTTTGATGTGGCACCATTTGTCAAAAATTAAATATTTGTCACATTTTTTAAAAAATATTTGGTGTTGTACATATTCACTGATACACTAATCAACATCTGGCTATTTTTAGTTTTATTTCTGTACTTTGTACCCATCCTCTTATTTCTTATTATGGTTGTTTGTTGTGTTTTTTCTTTTTTTGGCTATTGTTGTTTTTGTTTTTTTTTAATTTTAATATTGGATATTATGTCCGAATAGAATGGAGGTACGGTGTGAAACGTGGGCAATTGACCAGAAGACTTGCCATAAATTGAGTTTAACCGTCAGAGGAATGGAGCGATATCTTCTGGGGATAATTCGAAGGTATAGAAAAACAAACAAATGGATCAGAGCTAACACTTACCTTCCAGATATTGTGAAAAAAGTGCTCATCAGGAAGTGGACCTGGACCGGACATGTAATCAGGAGGAATGATTAACATGGACCAGACAGTTTATGGATTGGTACCCAAGAGAGCACGTGAGGAAGAGAGGACGCCCGCCGACAGACTGGGACAAGGAGATGAAGAAGACCTGCGGGGGAGCAGCCTTTAAGAGAGTAGCATTGGAGAGGAAAGAATGGAAAAGGATGGGACAGGTTCATTACCTAGTGTGGTTGCAAGAAAGCCAAATATAAAAAAAAAATAATAAATCGAACTCAAAACCTCAACTAAGTTGATTTTGTACATATAAGAGATTTTGTATATTTTTATCCATTGTTTTTTCATTGTATGCACAAATAAAGGTTATTATTATTATTTCCATTCTTTATTCTCGTTTTGCGGGGTAAGTTACTGAAGTGGGAGACCAGAAGTCCAGCCACTTCAGATGAATATCTATTACTTTTTAGATATTTAAAATTATTATTATTATTATGTCCGAATAGTGTGTACCTAAATGTTTTGTATCTGTTTTAAATATTGCTCTGATGATGGGAAAATCGTCCCGAAACGTAAGAGACAACAAGCATAAATAAAAAATTATGAATAAAACTGGAAGTTTGATTGCCTAAAATATGAAAAAATACTTTAATTTTGTACTTTTTTGTTAATATAAAGGGACTTCGTCCCAGAATAAAATTATTTTATATTCTATTCTATGTTGTATAGTCAATTGTTCACTGAATAATATACTATGCGAATTTTTTGCACGGACCAATTAGTTATTTATTAATTAAATAAAGCAAACATTTTTAAATATTTTCTAGTTAGATCAAATTAAACCTGTAATAGGCAAACAACAAGGTTATTAAGTTTACAGTGGCAGTATTATATCAATATGATAATCCTCATAGGGGATACCCAAGGCACCGAGGGAACACGATACCCTTCCATCCTCCCCTCCCCCAAGGCAAACATATGGTCCTAGCTCATTTTCTAAACGGAAATTCGAGAAGGGGGACTGACCCCCCCCCCCCATGCTCCGGCCTGAGAACAGAGTGCGAAGTCGACGCTAAATACGGAAGCTGTGCCTAAGGTGGCAGTTACTGTCATGATCGATGGGCGCCTTCCGATACAGCGACATCGATATATCGAGCGGGCTAGATGAGCACGTGTGAGGCCCGCTGCAATGGGGAGTCTCGGGCCCCATTGTGTTGGAATGCAAGGGGCACGTTTATAAGGCAATTTCTCCAAGAGACGGGGAAATGGCGAATAACAAAACGGGCCTGGGAGCCGAACTGTTCCGAACTCCATCAGTCACGGCTCGCCTGCTCTCGGGACAATGCTGGAATGTAAACATGTGACTGGAACCCCCCGTCCCACTCCCTCCCCCCCACTAACTCGGGAGTCAGCTGATCCTTCAATCTTTTTAACGATTCCGCCAGTGTCACATTTACCGCTCTTCTCTCAATAACCTCTACACGGGAGGTTCTAAGCCAATTTACAACTTATTTTCCGACTTTGTATTCAAGTTGGGTTCTGGAGAGGAGGAAATAGATCTCCCGCTTAGGAAGAGGAGCTATTTCTCTCTATCAACTAGCGATACATCCTTTATTTATCTTTAGGTCCCATGTTTCACGAAATATGAACACTGGAATTCTCCGGCGATAAATCCATTTAACAGAACTTCAAAAATATATCTAGCATTGGTCTTAAGAAATATTTTGAAAAAAAAAAGTAAAAATAAATATATACCTTTTTACATTAAAAATTAAAAATAGAAAAACTTAAGAATAACGCATAAATATATATATATATATATATATATATATATATATATATATATATATAATATATATATATATATATATATATATATATATATATATATATCAAAATATCTATTAAGTGTAGAAATATTAAAATAATTAAGTTTACATACAGTAATCGAAAATATATATGAAAAAATAAATGGGTTAGAAATATATATATCATTGGTCTTAAGAAATATTTGGAAAAATAAATAAATATATACTATTTTAGATTAAAAATTAAAAAACTTAAGAATAACGTAAATGCATTAAAAAAAAATTATACATATATATATATATATATATATATATATATATATATATATATATATATATATATATATATATATATATATATATATAGAAGAAGAAGAAAAGTCTTTTTATTTATTAAAATTACGAAATATAAATTACATAAAAATACAAAATAATATTTTTGGATTTAAAACAGAAAATCAGTGCTACATGGTCTGTTGACCGTCAGAAGAACAGTGTGTCAGGTGATGGCACAACTGAACATTGATCGTACATTGATTTACATATATGTATATATATACATATATATATATATATATATATATATATATATATATATATATATATATATATATCAAAATAATTATTAAATGTAGAAATATTAAAATAATTAAATTTATATACAGTATACGCAAATACATATGGAAAAATAAATGGGTTATTTGAAAAAGAAAAAAAATAATTTATCTATTTCACAAAACAATAATTAACAATTAATGTATTGATAATGCATTAAACTAATTAATTAAAATCGTGTAAACTCATTACGCCTTATTAAACATTTTATTTTATATTGTTGCTGATGAAAATATTGTGAAAATATGATCATTTAAAAAAATAATAAATAAAAACGTCGTTTAGAAAAAAAAACACAAACAATATGTTCTTATTCAATAAAAATAAAACATGTCTTTTTACTCAAGTATCGCGAGATCATTTTTTTATCAATTGTTATAATTTTTAGTAACATTTACTTTTATGAGCCAAACAGTTATTTTTTAGCAATAATATGTCATAAAAGATTAAATGTTTTACACAAAATTATTGTTAAACAATAACTTGATACGAAAAAGGTTAGCACGAATAATTAATTTTTTTCTAAATGTTTAACAATATTAGTTTTCAGAAGGGCATAAGTTTCTCATTGCCAGTTAATTTTTATCGGATAAATCGAGCCCATGATTTAAATTTTTATTTCACATAAAAAAAAAAAACAATAAGTTCATGGTTTAGATTATAACCTCAATAATCGTAATAATTTAGTAAATCATATTTATTTTACAAATAACTGTAAAAGTCCTAAACAATTAGCAACAAATGAACTGGTGATACTTATGAATGTAATACCAAATAAAACAGATAATGACTGAATCCAAAATTAAAAGAGAAAAAAAGGGATTATTTTATAGTAACAAATTTTCATCATGGGAATAAGCCTTGAAATCACTACTGATAAATATGGAATTATAATTGTGGACATAGTGAACACAGAATTTGATGCTCTACAATTTTTATTCTATTAACCAAAAAAAATAACAAATATGGATAGAAAAATATCTAGCTTTTTTGGCTGTAAAATTTTCCTTGGTTCTTAGCGTTAGCAATTTTGTTTTTTACATGTTTGACTATAAATATAAATAAATAAAAAAAAAAACTATTCCCACGTTTTTCTCCTGTTACGTTAAGTTACTGCCCTAATATTCTTTAAACCACCACCCATTTTTTAAAGTAGCGGCTCTGCAATGACAGTCAAGGTTCATTTTGCTTAGGATTAACATACACTTTCGTTATTTGCATTCCAACTTTTGCCTGTGGTGAGGAATCATTTATTGGTTCTGGCTTCAGAGCTATAACTGAATGTTAAAAACAAAATCGCAAAAGGGGAAAAAAATTAAAATATTAGAAAATGTACTGTCATTGAAGATCTTTTGAGGTTAGTTAAATATTTGTAAATCAATAAATCATTAAATATGGACATAATTTAGACTGAAAAGTTTCATTCCAATATTGAGAATTGTATTGTGGATTTTTTTGTTGTTTACATTATTATCATTATAATTTTATAAAGTTATACGATAGTTAGTCCTTATGTAGGGTCAAATATTCAACCCATGAGAAGCATCGAGTCCAGTGACTTAATCATGAAAGCTCGGAGCATTTAACAGTCATTAGCATAATATTCTGAGTTTATTTTACATACGCGCATATCAGAGTATTAACTGTAGCTTGAATGAAAAATTAATCACGAATAATTATAGACTGACAGAGGAGGAGGCAGAAGGAAGAAGACTAACAATAGAAATGAGGGGACAATTACTAGGCAGACGAAGAAGAGTTTAGCAAAATAATGATGTTTAAACTGTTGTTCACTCTCCAGTTTAAACCATTTTCACTCTCTCGTCTCTCTGCTGTCGTACCGTTCAAAATAATGGCTCAAATTAACTGCTGATAAACATTTGTTTGCATCCATTATTCACACTGCTCCAAGTCATATAAAATTATACATTGCTCGATTTATTGTAATAAAAATAATGCAACTCATACGAATCGACTTTAGCTTAAACATATTTACCGGAATTTAAAACTGTATTAATAGTCCGTGGTACAGGGCGATTTTTTTATCAAATTATTAACATCTGCCTATGGTAAATAGCGTCATCTCATGGTAACTTACAACTATTTTATTAACGAAACTTCTCGAAATAGGGAAGTTTTCAATCTGGAGATCACCAAACTTTGCCTATTTAATTAGGTAACCAATACCCATTTGCTTTCATAACGAATCGTAAGATAACTTGAGCACAAAACCGACAAAAAAATATTGAACCTTTTGGCGTGACTTACACTACCAAAATAACGAGGTTGTATGGGCTAAACCGCCCAATATTTTTGTAGGCCACCTTTTTTATCGATTTTGTGATGTAATAATCTCACAATCAAAGTGGAAAGGAAATAGGTATTAACGAATTTTTAGTACCTGGTTAAATAGACAAAATTTGCCCCCCTCCAGAATGAAAACGCCCCAATTCCAAGATTTTTCGTAAATAAAATATTTGTAGGTTACGATGAGATGAAACTATTTACGAAGTTCCATGCGGATGTTAATAATTTGATAAATAGGGGTCTGTACCACGGACTATTAGTTTTACCGTCAAGGTCCTCTTTAAATGGTTTTAATAATGACAAACTCTATTTTCATTTGAAATAAATGTTGTCTAGTTTACATTGAAGCAATTTTTAATTACTTGAATTAAATATTTCTTTAGTTATTGCTTCATATTTAACAAAAAACATGAATTACTTAAAAAAACATAAAATTTAAATTTGCTACTGCTAATAATCGGACCAATGGTTATATAAAGTTTTTTGTACCTCTTGAGGTTATAGCAGAAACTTTTGAAAATATTTCCCTCTACGTACGGGAGTCTATGTACATTAGGATTGGACTAAATCAGCAACTAATACAGAAATTAATGCTCCTAAAGTTAAAATATAAACCAGCGAATTTCCTATTCAAATTTAATTTAAAAAATAAATATTATCTAATTTATACCTTAATACAGTTCATATTCACACCAATAACTGAAGTGGAAACTTACCTGTAAACAAAAATAAAATTACAATTAATAAAAGAAAGAAATTTTGAATTAAAAATTATAAAATATAAAATGTAAAATTATAAATGGCTTATAACAAAAATAAACTAATACAGAGATACTTTATTATTATTTACAGAATCTATTAGAAAAATAAAAAAATTTATGGTGGAGAACGACCGGTCATTAACTGATTGGTTATCGAATATTGAAACATATCAATCATTTTAATTGACACGTTAACCATTAATTTTTAGTAGTGCGAGATATATTTTTTGCTATATATAAAAAAAATCCATTTTCTTTTTAACAATCTTCTATTGAAGTAAAGGGGACATGTTCCTACACTGAACGCTAATTCTATAAAAAATTCATCAATCGATCGAGTTCAACACCGACGGACAGCGATTTATGATAAATTTAGGAACGACTAGCTGGATTCTAACGGAAGAATATTACTCCAAGAAGGTTACATAAATATGAAAATAAATAAGGATATATTTACCTCGTAAATTGTTGAATTTAAAAAGAAAAAATAATTACAGGTAAATTGAATATAAATTGTTACATTCTTAATAATTTAATCTATTAATAAAGGAACGCGCTGAAATCCATTTATGTATCTATTGATATAAGTATAAGGAAGGGTCAGGTAGAATTTTGACACAAACAATGAGCTCAGCGCTGAGTTTAGTTACTTCCTCAAGATGACTCGACGAGTGAGAGTAGACCAAGAATGGTGGTGACTATATTTAATATATTCTGACTATTGTATTATAATGAGAAACATAATTAAAAATAAATAGATACATGGAAAAGAATGTACAACAGGCAATTAAAACATTTAAGATGAGAGAATGCTCCAAAAAAA